GGCCGAGGGAAGGCGGTTGTGGACCTTGAGTGTCCCGATTAATTTTGCCAGTGTTCTGCAATTCTCGGCAGTGAGAATTAGTGGCCTGAAGCTATGCAGAAACGCCCCGGAAACTTTTGGCTACAGGGTGGTTATGCTTTCAGGTGAAGGAAAGGCTTGCCTTTTGAGTCCTTGTTTGCTGCTAGTTTAAAATTACCCAGAGTAAAAAGCTGAGAACAAACTTTACAAACCTGGAATCAGTTAGCCTGGCTTTAACTCCTAAAACGGTGTCAGTCAAAACGAATAGTATAGTACGTTGGTGGTGATGGGTTTTTTTGGTTTTTAGTGTTGTGTAAGATGCTTTGAAAAGTGACTCATTGTCGCTCGTATTCTACTGTTAAAGATTTAGTTTAAGGATTCTCGGGCGTCTCCTTTAGGGTGGCAAGATGAACGCTGAAGTGAGTCCTTTAGGTCCAAACCTCCAGCCTTCCCCTGCAACAGTCGGTTTGATTCTAGCTTGTATGTCTCCATCTACTGGTGGGAAGTGAGTCCTTGAAATACGCACGGCTTCGTGTTAGGCAGCTGTAAATTCTTGTGGAGATAGAAGCATCGTTTTAGTCTCTTGATGCCATAGAGAGGATGGCTTTTCCCTTGTGAAAAGGAAAGCATACATTTCCTGCAAGAATTCAAGTAACAAAAGTGTGGAGCGTCTGCTGCTTTCAGTAGTATATTCAGCTGGGTGGTACTAATTGCATAACTCTCCAAATAAATGTCCCGGTTATCAAGAAAACAGTATTAAATGGTATAGATGAAGTTATTTTTGGCTTGTGAAGTTGCCAGTTGTATATTTTTACTTTTTTTATAGATATGTATTTTCATTTTTTTATTTATTTTTGCAAAAACAGGTGCAGCCATGCAAGAAAGCATACGTTTTGCTTCATCGGGAGATGACGTTAAAATATGGGATTCCTCGTCTCTGACTGTGGTGGAGCAGTTCAACCCACATACACCCCCACATCCAGTCAGCTCACTATGTTGGGCCAGCAATAGTATCCTTTACAGTTTCAGCCATAGTTTTGTGACTGTTCTGCAAAATTTCAGTGAATTTTTTTTTATTAAAGTGTCTGTAAATCACAGGCCTGATGCAGTTTTGAAGCTTTGCATAAGAAGATTTGTATATATTGTGAAGAAAATTTTGTAGTTCTCTGTGTTGAAGTGATTTACAGAACAAACTCACGCTGGTAAATGCTTCTGAAAAAGTTTCTCTTCCTTTAGGAGGCTAACACTTTTTTAATGATTATGATATCTTGAATTGCCTACCAACTGTAAAGCTTACTCATTTGTTTCTTCAATAGTTGATCACAATATTCACTTTCAAGGCAGTGCTTAATTTACTGACAAGGTTGAACAAAGCAATTGCTAGCGTAGTAAAATTCTATACATAGTGTAGAGAGGAAAATTGTAATGAAAGATTTTTTTGTTTGTTTTTTCCTTGAACAGCTTCTCATTGATTCTGATAGTCTTTGATAGTGCACACTTACCTCTTACTCTGTAGGCACTGGTTTTCTTTGTGCTGTTTGTAGCATTTACAGAGAAAGCGCAAATGTGTTGGATGTGTAGGAAAACATCCATAGGATGGTGGTGATTTATGCATGAAAATGGATCTGGCCCATTTAGACCTTTCACCTCTGTCTCGGAAGCCTGTTATAGGATAGTCATATGAGGTGTTAGGTGAATATATGAGAAATTTCATGAAAACAGTGCACTGTCAAGTGAACAGCTTGTATGGCTGTCATGGGAAGAGGCGGCGATGTCTGATCGTGATGCAGAAGGAGGACAGGATGCTGGCACGTAACAATTGAGTCCTGCAAATTCTGAATGTGTCTGTCCTCTAAGTCTGCAAATAAGTGGATGTATGAGGAAAAAAGTTAAAACAATCAGAGCGCAAATGAATGTTTTGCCTATGGAGCTTGCAGAGAAGTTGAAGCATAGCTATATATATATAGCATGCACTATATATAAATAATTAAATATATAGAAAAATAAATTATCTATATAAATAAATAAAAATTATATACATGTGTTGTATAGTAAACTTTAGCTATAGACAGTCTGTCTTGTCATGTCATGCTTTATTCCGCCTAGTCTCCTCTTCATCCCCCAAAACTAAAACAATGAAGTATCTTACTGTATATGCTTTTGAATGTTTGTTAATTTGTTAAGGGTAAAGCATTGGTTTTGGTTCTGCATAATTCTGTAAGCTAAAATGTTGCCTTAAAATAATGAAAGAAATAGCAAGCACTAATCTGCCCACCAGTTCTTTGGTGTTGAATCCAGCCGATTAACCTGTATTCTTAAATAACCAAATATAAAATCACAATGGGTATTGGCCTGAAGACATACAGGACATGGATCTAAATGATTACCTGATTAGTTTGGTGAGGGTGCAGAGGCAGTTTCCCTGCTCTGTAGTTCTGTATTGAAGGCTTTTCTTACTACTTTAAGGTACTTGGTGTCATAAAAGGTTCTTTTTGGGTTTTTGTTTTTCTTCCCTCAGTACAGACGGAGACAAATTAGCAAACATTCATTGTACGCTAGAAACTATAAGGTGAAGTAGTTTAACATTTGTCACAAACAGGACTGTTCTTTAAATCCATAGTCTGCTAACAGCAACAGACGTTCCTTTGAACTCTAGTGGTACATGGGGCTCTTACTTGGGGGTGGTGGGGAACAAAATTGTAGACCGGATAAGCTGCCTTAATGGTAAAGAGCTCTCAAATAATATCTGCCAGATATTTATCCTCTTCTCTCTGAAAGAAGTTGCTTTGCCTTGTATTGGGAAGTAAGGGCTGTAGTTAATGCAAGAGCTTCTTAATGAAAGCTTGGAAAATAGCCTTATGTTTCTATTTCTAGGTCCCTTCAAGGTACAGTACTTTAGACTGTTTAACCAATCTGTCTTTCCTTCGGTAAGGGAAACATACTGTTGCTTTTATTAATCACCAGTATAATAAAATTATAGTCCATAACTTGTGACTAAGATAGATACCTGGCCACTGCTTCTGCCGCTGGTGATAAAATAGTTGTTTCAAGCTGTAAAAGCAAACCTGTTCCTCTCTTTGAAATAGCTGAAGGAGTAAGTATGACTAATGCTGTTTCCTGTTTTATTTTCCCCACTCCACCTTGTGTACTATTTGTATCACATTTGTTCTGCATATTGGGATCAATTTAATTTTAGTGTTGTTCGAGTTATGACGTGTATGTGAAAACATTTCCTTGTGTATAATTAAATACATATAAAGAGTGGGGGGAATGATGCTTCTAAAATAGTTGTACCAGTAAGAAAATATGAATGCGGTGATACTAGCATCTGATGCCTTTCTGCTAGGGGAATGAGCCTGCTGAGCCTCAGTGTGATAGCCTGAGGCAGTCAGTGGTTCAAACTCGATCTAATGTGTAGGCGGCGGAACAGAGCTCAAGTTTGAACTTCATTTTCCAACTTG